GAAAAAGTTTTGGTAAAATGTGAGTGCCACTAGGGGGCACAGAATTATAACAGAATTTTCCAGTACACTAGCTCAAAGATGTTTTCCTTCTGTATCAATCTCTTAACACAGTTTCTAAATATATGGATCTTTAAAAGATCAAATAGCTGATTCAAATTACTTTCAGAAAGAAGAGCTTAAGTAGTTGGCTGAAAGAAACAGAGTATTGCTGCCATACTAACATGTCAGAAGAAAATGAAATCAGGCACTTGTATCACTCAGACAGATACAACAAACAGAGTTTTATGAATAAAAGTGAAGGTAGTATTAGGAAAAAGAAATCAATGTAAATACAATTTCAAGGAATTGATACTACAAGATTTGGGACTGTTTTAAAATTTTCAATAGAAAAAAGTATCTATGAAAGGAAGCCTTTCCTACTGCAGGTATAGTGAAGAGGAATATTGAGGCTATTTCTATGTTTAGAATAAAACCCCAAATCCTGTTTTAAAACAACTAATAGAAATTTCCCAATACTTTTCTTTTGGAAAGAGAAACTGTCAAAATTATTAACACACATTAATAGGCTAAGCTTTTTATTTCAAAAGTTGATATAGTTTAGTAGTTAAAAAATCTAGCTTTTTGTCTTTGTTTCAGTGGGTTTTATTTTGTTTTTGTATTAAATACCTGTAAGCTTGGGTCCTGGCTCAACTACTATTAGTTTTGAAAAATTATTAATTTGTCCACACCTCAGTTTCTTCCCCTATAAATTGGATATGATTGCAGTGCCTACTTGTGAGGCTGTCAGAATCAAATAAAATAATTCTTGCAAATCATTGTGAATAGTATCACATGCTAAATATTATTTTTCTTTGACAGTGGTTTTTAGCACATTATTTTAGTAATTCCTAGGAAAATAAATTTTGATTAGTTGCTATGATGAAAATGGATGGACCCTTTTCAGTCTTTCCCCCATTCTTTGTCTGCTCCCCTACCGGCCTCTCTTCACACCCACATTCACTCCACCTACACCCTTTCTGCATCCCAGGGGCAGAGTCTTTCTGAAAAAGCCATGCTTCCGTCCATTGTGTAGGGCAGAGCTGGGATTCCTACTGTGTTAGAATCTTCATGTGTTCTGGCCTGGTCCAGATGATTTCTGATGTTGCCTTGGGTTCTCTGATTTATTTCTGCTTGTTGGAGAAACATTTTGAGAAGCTTAACGTCAAATCTCTTACAGATAAGAATTCTTGATTGACTAAATATGGTGCTGTGGTACACAATATGAATACATTAAAAATAATAAGAGGAGGACGGGCGCCTGGGTGGCTCAGTTGGTTAAGCGACTGCCTTCGGCTCAGGTCATGATCCTGGAGTCCCGGGATCGAGTCCCGTATCGGGCTCCCTGCTCAGCGGGGAGCCTGCTTCTCCCTCTGACCCTCCCCCCTCTCCTGCTCTCTCTCTCTCATTCTCTCTCTCAAATAAATAAATAAAATCTTTAAAAATAATAATAATAATAAGAGGAGGTAACCATAACAAATGCAGCTATAGTTGTTATGCTTATTGGTTTGATTATGATTTGATGGGAGGGAAATAAAAGCTAAGGAAAATGATGGTATAGCTGAAAGGGCATTCTATTCAAGAGTTAGGAGACTTCACTTGTACCTCTAGGCCTCTAAGACAAATAGCTAAGCCTTGAGCAAGTCACTGAACAGCAGCCAAAAAATGGATTTCCATTTCTTCCTCAGTAAATTTCCTTTTGGCTCTAAGGTTTGAGGATTCTACTTATCATTACTACCATGGTTGACCCAGGAATCTCACACTGGATCAAAGTGTACCCACATCACTCAAAAGTGGCATTTGTATCACTCACTAGTTGAGATGAACCATGAACATGACTTGATGGGAAGGTATGTTGAGGGGATAGGGCTGAGGCAAATGGGAAGATGGAAAGTCACAGAGAAAAAGGAAAGAGGGGGAGAGTAATGGGATCACTGACATTTTGTGAAAACAGTTCAGATCTAGTTGTTCTACCTGAAAAGTCTTTCCTGGGCATCTATCTCCTAGCTCTTGTATGGAATTTTCAATACTGTTATTTTAGAGTACCCTTCAGAAGAAAAATACAATGGGCTAGAAAACACACTGAAATAAAATATTTCTGGTAACTACTTTCAGTTGAAACCATCTCCATGTAGACTTCAGAGAACACGAGTTTCCAAGGTCATAAATTTCAGGCAGGCATCTTACAATGTGTAGAGAATGAATGGTTAAAAGCAAACCCATTTCCAAAGGATAGGGAAGGCTAATCAATTCACACTTTACACTAGGAATAAACATTTACCTTAGGAAAAAGTGGTTGTCTTTTGCCTTTTATATCTCTTTATAATGCTCTAATGTAATTGTTACGCACAGAATATACCCTATATTGTTTTACTTTGCACAATATGCCATCCTCTCTTCTATCTGGTTTTTAATATTTCAGCAAAATAAAAGGCAGTTTCCTAGCAACATTTGTATTCAAAGGTACAACAACAGAAAAAGCTTGATGACAATACTTTTTTTCCCCACAGTTAATTCCTGCCTTTTGGAGGAAATTAGCAGGTAGTAAAGGAAGCAATGTACACACAGAGAGAATCTGGTAGAAGAGGCCATGCAGCCTCACTTGGCTTTCCCTTCCAGAGTATTCAAGGCCAGGAAGGTTAGGGCTTGCAGCTAAATGCCTCTTTCTGAATAGTAGTTGATAGACATATTGAAATAAAACCATGTGCTCTTATGTACATAACTCAGTTGGAGTTGAAGACTGACCCCTTGATGGGATTCTGAACTGGGAGGTGAGATTTCTGAATTCTCAGCAATCCTCATACTAACCTGCTGTGAACTCTTGGGCAGGTCTCCTTCCCAGGACTAGCTCTCTAACTGGAGGTTACCCTAGAAGATCCCAAAGGTGTAAACCATTAAGAAACCAGCTCTAAACAGCTACTGATTACTAGATCTGATTTTTTTTTTTTTTAAGTTTCATGTCATTTGCTTAATCAACATCACGGGTTCACTGATATTATTGCTGCACCTCCAGGAAAATATCACTAGGAAATTAAGCAGCAGGTTCTCTTCAAGAGAACCCTGTCCGTGTTCCACCTTCCCAAAACTTCCTGCCTGCACGCTGGGCCCAGCCTCACCAGTGAGGTGGAAGTGACCCTGACCTACTCAGTGGTGGTGGTCAAAGAGTGCAAGAAGGAAAAGCACTTGGTTAAGAGGAAATGGTTTTCATTTCTTGCCTGCAGAATAGCCAAGATATTCAAGTTTAAAGCGTGCACGCGAGTCATTTTTAGTCTCCAGATCTTTCACCCTGAAAGTCCCTGCACAGAAACTCCGCGGGGAGTCTAAATATAGCAACAGCAAACTCCCCCCACCCTCAGCTGGGGTCTCGTGCTGTTCTAGGATTGGAGAGCTCGCTCCAAGGCGCTCTCTGCATCTGCCTCGAATAGCAGGGCACGGAGCAATCTCTCGCACCTCCACAGTGCGTGGGTGTGAAGTGTATTAGGAGAAAAAGAGAGTGACTCTGGGTATTGGTGTTTGGTGCACAGTCAGTCACGTGGCACGGCTGCCCGCTGCATCGAGCGGCTCCCAGCTAGTGCCCGCCGCGGAGAGGCTTGGGGAAGAGGAGGGAGGGAAGCAGGGTCCTGCGGGTGACCAGGGGCCGGCGAGAGGGCTTCACACAAATGAGAGCGAACAGTACAAAGTAAAAGAAAGTAAAAGTAAAGCATTTAAATGGAGCTACTGCCAGAGGCGGAAAGGAGCTGCCGCGGGCGTGGGTGTGTGTACTGGAGGGAGTCGAGAGAGTATCTCTGAGGGGCGGAGACAGCTGAAATAAGACTTTTGCTTTAGTATTCTAGAAGGAAATCTCTACCTGCTCTGGCTTTGTGGTGGACCCTTAGTTCTTCCTTCAGTTTAACTTGGTTGTTTTTTTTCGTATTTTGGTGGGCTGTGGGGGTGGGGGGAGAATCCACGCTGTTGGAAGAAGTTCCCTAGCCCGGCTTCCTTTCAGTTTCCCCACACTGACTGAGGTTTAACTGCTTGTGCTTTATAACGCAGTGTTGCTGAAGGCCAGAGGCCGAATCCAGTGGCACCGTGGCCTCCCTCCCCGACCCCGCTTTGGGTCGCCAGAGTGTCAGAGGTGGTGGGAGACTCAGCCAGTCCTAACTCGCCACACGTCTCTCACCGTGTAAGGTACAGCCTACAAGGGGTGGGGTGAGGACCCCGAGAAGCTGGTGTCTTGGGCTCCCTGCCCTCCGGGATTTTTCTCCCAGACGCTGGGCCCGCCGCTGCCACTGCCGAGACTTAACAGTTTTATGACTTTTTCGGACTTAAATGGAAATTTCTTGACTAAGGAAACCCAGTTCGCTCTCCCATGCTTCGCGCCGCTGTCAGGCGGAGCCCCGGGGCAACTCGTTAACCGCGGAGGAGCCACTTTGTAGTTTTTATGCCCTCCCCACACTCCACCCCCCGGGCTAGGAAGGATGTCCAGTTACTCGAGGGCTTGCTACCTGATGCTGGGATGGAAAGTCACAGCCCGAAAGCTGGAGTGAGCCGCGGGGAGATGCCCGCTCCCCGCCTCTCCGGCTTGGGAGTCGTGTCCTGCGGGTCTGCACACTGATCTGGCAGGAACCCTCCAGCTGTGCGGGAACCCGACCGCCACTGCCGGGAGCGTCGCCCCACGCGCCGGGGGACCGGCTCGTACCTGCAGGGCAGGGCAGGGCAGGGCCGTTCCCGCTCACACCCCTTGCGCAAGGATGGCGGGACCTGGCGCTGCATCGTAGCGGCCGGAGTGAGCCGAGACCTGCATCTCCAGTTTCTCCGAAGGGCACGAGGCCGACTTACCTTACGGACAGCTCCCAAGCCCCCAAGAGAACTAAACAAAGTCGCGCCTAGGAGCGGGGCTTCCGAGCCCCGTCCCCTCTGGGGGAGGGGGCAGACGCAGTCTGGGCGTGGGGAATCGAGTGCGAGAAGAAAGGGGGAGCCTGGGGCTGGGTGTGCGCGCGTGGGAGCGCGCCTCCGAGCGCCCCGCACTCCGCGGGACCAGCCCTGGGGGCACTTGGGAAGGAGGGAGTGATAGCTGCGGGAATAAGAGGGAGCAAGAGAAACCCTCTCAAAGTGACGCCCCCAAACAGGTCCTGATTTCGAATTTGGAGCTAAAGACTGCTAGAAATTGGGCCTCCTTCGCACACCCCTCTCCGCCCCCACCCCGAAGCCCCGGCGGTGTGCTGGCTGCGTGCTTCCCCGCCCCTATCTCGGAGGTCGCGGGCCGGCGGGCGCTCCGTCGGCCGCGGCTTCCTCCTCGAAACCCGCCCGCGCGCATGAGGCCGCTGCCCCCGCCACAGGCACTGGCGCCCCCCTCGCGGTGCCCGTGGTGATGCCATGCCCCGCCACCACGCGGGAGGAGAGGAGGGCGGCGCCGCCGGGCTCTGGGTGAAGAGCGGCGCGGCGGCGGCGGCGGGCGGGGGGCGCCTGGGCAGCGGCATGAAGGATGTGGAGTCGGGCCGGGGCAGGGTGCTGCTGAACTCAGCCGCCGCCAGGGGCGACGGCCTGCTGCTGCTGGGCACCCGCGCGGCCGCGCTCGGCGGCGGCGGCGGCAGCGGCGGCGGCCTGAGGGAGAGCCGCCGGGGCAAGCAGGGGGCCCGGATGAGCCTACTGGGGAAGCCGCTCTCGTACACCAGTAGCCAGAGCTGCCGGCGCAACGTCAAGTACCGGCGGGTGCAGAACTATCTGTACAACGTGCTGGAGAGACCCCGCGGCTGGGCGTTCATCTACCACGCGTTCGTGTGAGTACCCGCGGCCCCCGCGCGCCCCCCGTCACGCCCGCTCCAGGGGGTCTGTATGCCTGGCCCCCTGGGACACGCTCCGCGCCCACGCCCTGGCCCGGCGCGCGCGTGCACACACACACACACACACACACTCTCACACACTCGCGCGCGCACACGTGGTAGCTTTTATTTCTTTGCACGTGTTTATGGTCTTCCTCCTAGAGCTTTCCACCTCCCTGAGCCCCACCTCCTCTACCTCTACAGATTCAACCGTCTCCCCCAACACACCCAATGAGCTGCCCCGCAGTTTTAGGCACGGAAGGAGAGAACCAGGCAGACCTGGGACTTAGGCTGCGCGGATAACTGGGAGCGATTAGGTCCCGAGATACGTAAATTTCAACCGCGAGGGGCGCGCAGGAGCTGGGAAAGGCAAAGGGAGGACGTGCGCCGGTGTGAGGCTTGTGAGAGTGTATTGGAGAGGTTAGGAGGTTATGGCAGGGTTGGACGGGGTGGTGAGAGGAGAAACGGAGGGCTGAGTCCTCAGCCCTGGGGCGGAGCTGGGGAAGCTGCTACTTGGTGGGGAGAGCAGCTAGGTTTTAAGTGCGCCCGGAAACACGCCTCGCCGCCACCTCCACCACTAACGGAAAATCTGTCAGTGCGTGTAGCCCTTCCTGCCACAGAGGTGGCCAAGGTCTAGAAAAGGCGAGCTGGGCGGGGCGAGGTGATGCTCCCGCGCGGTGGCAGAGGCCGGTGGCGAGCCTTGGGCTCAGGAGCCCTGGTCAAAGTGCAATAGCAAACGCGCAAAGGGGCCACCTGGGACAGGGATCAGGCCGTGGGTTAAGTAGGTGTTTGTGCCGCTGAGTCAAAATGTGTGTGTGTGTAAGTAAGCCTTCACCATCTAGCAGAGAATGCTTAATGAGAAAATGATTGGAAGCAAATGTTTATTTTTCCCTTAGGCATTTAAAACCTTTCAGTGGCTTTAAAGTTTACTACTGTTTTTCCCACAAGGTCCATTCATTCAATCTCCTGTTAGAGTTAGGTTTATCTGGATGTTTTAAGGTAGTTTTTATGCCGTTATATTCTGTCTTAATTATTTCTTTTTTTCTTATTTTTTTTCATCTCTTTCTAGTTTTTTTATTTTTTTCCCTGCTTCTTTATGTTAAAATGAAATATAAAGACATCAGCCTTAGGAGACCTGTAGAGAAAAGTTGCAGGCTCTCACTGTTCCTTTCCTTGTTTCCTAGTAAAATAGGTTTTGAACACATGAACTAGGTTTCTTTTAGAAATGAGGCATGTCATCCAAACATAGCTCTCACCTGGGATGGAGGATTGGCGTCAACACCAGAAGCACTTTTTGAAATAAAATGGAAGAAGGGGCTGGTTTTGTAAATAGGTGAACCTGGAATTTGACCACGTAGGAGTCAGGAAATTGGTGGAGTCTACAATCTGTGGGGCTCTGGTGTCTGGAAAATTTTACAGTCTCAGATTGATGTGAATATGTAGCATTAGGTAGACTATTCCAGCCAACTTTCCATCTTACAGTGTACACAAGGAGAACGTTGTATAGCATCATTATTACATCAAACGGTATAACTTTTACTATTCACTTAATATAAGATTCACATTGATTTAGATGTTGTTACTGTAATAAATGATAGACATAGAGAAATACTACAGATTCTTTTCATGTTTGCCCTTTCTGAGTTGATACATATAATTAATCCTGTTACCTATTGAACCTGATAAATTATTTTAACCTGTCAGGATCTACTAAAACATTTAGCAATAACGATCTATGCTCAATTTGGCAGCAAAATATATACTATATGGAAAATGACTTTTTTTTTTTACAAGAGTACGCTCAGAATATTTGTATATTTGAATTTACGATATGATGCCGTTCGTGAGTTTTAATTTTTCGTAAATTATACACTGTATATTGGAGAGAGAGACAACTGTGGCTGATGCTCATGCTTTGCATCTCCTAAGTTTTGCCCTTGAACATGAATGAGGACTTACTGTAATACAACATTTTCTCTTCAATATGTTAATGTTTAACAGATTTTTGTGCCCTTACAGAATTTAAAATTTTTAACAAGTGATTTTTTAAGAGACTCAAGTTTAGATAGTTCTCTGCTCACCAGACTTTATCAGCCTATCCATGGGTTTAGTGGGAGATATGAAATAAATTATGTGCTTGTCAATACCATGTGCTGGTAGGAAGCTTTGCTTTATACATTTCTAGAGTCTGAAACTGTAATGCTTGAGCAATTAGATAGGGGTGCTAGATCCACATTAGCAGGAAGAGGGAATAGATAGCATCGTCTTCTGGGAGGATTCTGTACAACTATAGCCCACCTTGAGGGACAAGCCATCTTTGCAATTGCTGCTTATAGTTTATTTAGAAAGCTAGGCTTTACACATTAAATGAATAAAGGAAAGTTATTTTGAGCTGTAAGTCTAACAAGACCATTAATAATAAAGGAAATTATATGAAAACAATTTCTAAAGCAGTGTAACTAACTAATTCCCTGCCAGCGTGGGAATCCCCAAATCTTACTTTAATAACAGTTTTTGTAGCACATTAAGGTTCTTGCCAAGAGCAAGTGCAGTGTGATTAATGAGGTACTTCAGGGATGGATTTACATGGTCGACCAGTGTTTTCACTGCCAAGAAGCAAGAAAAATATGTTTAAAGTTATGTTTCAGGTAAAGAAAAGTTTTTGTTAAATATGGAAAAATCATTATTATAATGGTATTTTAATGGTATAAAATGTATTTTCAAGTGTAAATATCCGAATCTACTGATGAGATGTCTGGCAAGAACAAGAGATGACCTACTTCAAATACGTTCTTCCAGTCTTTATAAATTACAGGGGATTAGGAGAGTCTGTTCCCTTACTATTCTTTAGGATTTACCAGACAGCTGTGATTCCTCATTTCCTGTCTTCAGCTGTTCTTCAGTTTAATAGATGAGCTATTCAAATATGAGGTGGTATATTTCTTTGAAGGTTGGTTGTCCATTTTAAATTCAACTTCTTTTTAGGAAAAGTTTAGAAGAATAATGGTGGTAGCAGAACACCTGATGGTCTTCATATATAAATCTGCATTGATGCAACAAATGTGGCTCTGGCGTAGGAAATAGGGTGGCAGATATATGTAGCTCCTCACTTTGTCCAGTATATCTTTGCCTGGTATAATGCCATGGATCAGAACTTATAGATATTTTAAACTAGAAGAAATAGTCCAGTCACCCAAGCTAAGAACTTGCAAGTCATCCTTGACGCCTTTATTTTTGTCATACTTGCTCCTGCTGGCCATCCAAATGACCATTAAATTCTGTGTATTCACTTTATAAATATTTTTCGTATCTATTCCCTCTCTCTTTTGCTGTTGCTACTATCCCTCTCTGTTTCTTTGTGTACCTCCATTGGATTATTTGTAATATTCTCCTACTTAATCATCCAGTTTCTGTTCTCAGCCTTCCAGCTTTCCACCCCGGCACCATAGTGTTTTCCCTAAAATGTAAATCTTGTCATATCATCCCCTTACCTATAATCTTTGTGGTGAGGGTCATAAATGTGAATTAAGTGGATTGAGGAAAGTTAAGAATTGGGAAAGTGGAGACAATAATGTAAGTTAACCAAATTCCTTGGAACAATACACAAGACACTTTATGACATGGCCTCTGTCCATCTTTCTTTCTTCACCTCTAACGTACACCCTGGGCTCCAGCCTTACTCAGTTACTCCATCCTGTGTCACACTGCTGGGCCTTTGCTCATGCTGTTTCCTTTAATTCTGTGCAGTCTGGCTAAGTCCCACTGTTTCTTCAAAACACAATTTAAGGATCGCTTCCTCTTAGGCACATCTCCCCACTGCCAGAATAACTTAGGTGCCCCCTGTCTTAGGTTCCATGGCACTTCAGGATGTCGTTGTAATGGTGCTTGTCCCACTGTTTTCACTGTGAGCTACTTGGTCTGGCTCTCCCACAGGAGGGCAAACTTCCCACACAGAAAATCTCCTACTTATCTCTGAATTCCAAGCACCTAGCAAGATGCCTTGTACCTCGTAGACCCTCAATAAATGCTTGTTTAATGAGTAAGTAAAATTTTCTTAGAAGCCTTTCATAGAGGAGTTTCAGAGTGAACTAAAGCTGATGGAACTACTAAATCTTTTGGATTTTCTTAGAAGATACTGATGATTCATTTTGAGGAGGAGGGTATGGGGGCTAGAAGTAGGAGACCATTACTTTGCTTCCAACTTTCCCACTAATTAGCTTTGTGACTTGGAATAAGCCATTTTACTCTTTGGGGTCTCCAAATCTTTATCTGTGAAATGGGCACATCAGTGTCCAGTGTCTGTGATCCAGCCAAGTTGGTGGAGGATACTACAAATTGTCTAATATTCTATCATAAAGGGAAGGTGTATTTGTAATGAGAAGGGATCTGGTCTTTTTTTTAGCATTTCCCTTCCTCATTTTTGAGTTGCAGGACCACCTCCTAAATGGTCACTTTAACTTTACTCCTAACTCCTGGCCGAGGCCTGTGTGCCACATAGTAACCAAAGTGATCTTTCTGAAGAGTTAACAGAACACATCCCTCCTAGGCTTGGAGGAGTAATAGTTTGTTGCCTGTCTCTACCCAATTCCTTAAAGGCAGGGACTCTTTCCATCTTGTCCTCTGCCATATCACCAGCACCTAGAACAGTTCTGCCACATAGAAGATGCTCATACATACAGATTGATCCACTTACTGTTACCCCCAATCTCCAAAACATACCACTGGTTTTCAGGTGGAAAATAAGATTTTACACTGTTGATAATCCCCGTGTCGGGACTCAATTAGACCCAATGAATGACCTTATTATTTACATATATATTCTATTCGGAATTAAGTCTCTGTCCATAGAAATTGATGCTTGCATTTTATTTTTACTTCTGCATTCCTTAAAAATCACTTCCCTTATCTGTAGAGAGGGCTTATACAAGTTATACTGCTTTATACCTTGCTAGTATGGT